TTTATTTGCCCCTTGATTATTGCTCTCCTGCAATAAATGCACTCTTAAGGATTTGGAAAAAGTGCAAAGGTGAACTTTGACTTGACACGTAGATAAGTGCTACACCCTACTGTACCTGATGTGTGTATCATTGACAGTATATATTAGTCAACAGAGCTTCTGGGTCTAAAATGTGAAGTGATTGGAAAAAAGAAGTGAACCATGCACAGCCCAACTGGCAGTATGTCACCTACCAGCTCCACGCACTCGTCCAAATATGGTGACATCTGGCTCTAAAAAACCAAGATGGTGACAGCCATGATGCCAGACTCAAGGTTGTCCGCAAACCAATGGGCACTGTGGGTTTACACTTGTTTACACAATTTTTCTCATTTCTTTCTGCTCTTTCTGTCTCTTATTTATTTCTAACTAGCCCTGCTCCTCCCAGCCCAGTTTTCTTCTGTCACTTTGTGGTTTCTTTGAATTTGGTCTCTCAGACCTTATTACCATGGCAACAGATGGCAAAGTCCATCTTGGGAAAGTATGCATGTTAGTGTGAGTGCAAGTCTGTGAGTGTATGTGTATGGGAATGAGGATGAAATGTTTTCCATCTTTAGCCAGAATTAACTGAGAGTTAAGGCTAATGAGAAGGAACAGCATGGGGTGTGATGGAAGAGGGCAGTCAGACAAAACATGGTCAAATATTTGCCTGCTGTCGGTTGGAGACATCCATAGGAACCATCCAGACCAGACATTAGCCAGGAACAACCTTAAATCCAAGCTGGGCCAGCATGTCACCTTTCCAGGTCTCTTCCTCTCCTCTTGGGGCGACAGCACCTGCTGTGGTGTTGGTTGGTCCCACTGATCTGGCTCGGTGGATTGTCGAAAGCTCTTTAATAGAAACCCTTCCTTTTCCAATGACTAATGTAATATTTCAACAATAAAGCCGAAAAGAGATTTCAATAATCTCATAAAGCTGTTGACATGTATTTGGAAAAAAACAGCCCTAAAATGGTTTGTTTTTATTGTTTAGCTCTGGAGAAAAACTGTAATTATCTCAATGGCCTAAACATCCTTTCTCTGTCCATATGGCAAATTGTTTTATTGTGATTTTCAAGATCTAAGCCTGAGGGCTGTTGGAAGTGTTTTCATTGCAGATTCCCCTCCTCTTTGGTGTTCACTGACCCGGCACTGTGGGAAACTGGCAGAGGTATCACTGATTACACTGTGTGACCCCGCCCCGGCAATGCATTATTTGAAACCTGACTGACAGGTTTGCAGGGGTTCATATTATCTCACTCCTGTGGGGGGGGCATCATAATAGAGTTTCTTTTGCCCTCCTTCAGTGTCAGTTGCTGCCTTTTGTTGCAGATTGAAGCAGTGCCTGTGTTCACACGGGGAACAGAGTGACGCTCTGTTTACTCAGCTTCATGTCCTGCTCTCAGCACTTTGTTGTTGACAGGGGAGGATGCTGTGGCAGGCTGATCGGCCCCCATCACCACGTCCACACTACGCTGCCCGTTTCTCATCTCTTTTTTTTCTGCTGATCTCTCTCATATCTCCCTTGCTTTATCCCTCACTCCTTTCATCTCTCTCTCTCTTCCCTGATCTTTCCACGGGTTCTCTCTCTCTCTCTCTGTCTTTGTCTCCGTCTGCTGCCTTTCTTGTCCGTCCACTCTCCTGTTTCTCTGCAGTGAGACCTGCTGATCGAGGAGTTTCAGGCCTCTCGGGTGTCATTACTGACATCTGAGCTGGGAGAAAGAGCTTTTTTACTCTCGCACACACACTGGCGCGCCAAACCTGACTGTGTGAGACAATAATGCATGGCCAGGTTATGACTGTGGGACATACGGAGTAACATATTTGATTTAATGAGTAGAAGATTGAAAACAAGCTGACATGGTTTTTTATTACTGCAATAAAGTTGACAGCATGACCGTTAGTTTTAGTGTTTTGTGTAAAGCTGCCCCTGGCAACATTTTAAAGTAATATCTGTATGTATGTCCAACCGCAGGAAGTGACAAATCACATTTAATACCAAGTATAAATCTTTCTTCCCAACATGACTGCAGAGAGTGCCAGCTGTTAGGTAAAAGCTTTATTTTAGAAGTTTGGGAATCATGAAAATCAGTAGCAACCATTAGTACTACCTGTTTTGTCTCTTGTCTGTTATTGCGGTGTTTCCAAATTCTCACATTCATATGAGTATAAGCTGATATAAAACAAAGCTAGTTTTTAACTGGGTTGGCAGAAAGAAAAAACTTCAGGAGCATGTTACAGCAAACTCTGCAAATGAAACCTCAAACCAATTAAAATACGGATTAAAGTTTTGAAGGTGTCATAGAACTTGTTCTTTTATAGGGCAGCAAAATCTGGGGTTCACTAATTAGAAGACACTAAGCCCAAAATAATAAGATGCGTTTGGAGTTCTGTAACAAAGTATCAAACCTTGGGCGCAGTGTGGAATTAGGACAATAGTGCTTTTTCTAACAATAATGAACATTTGATAAGACTTGCACCATTATTCCGCATTCATAGGACTAGTACTGGAAAAAAGATATTAGATAAGACCCACTCACTATCCCAAAACATAATCTCTACACAAAAAATGGATAAACTATTTATTTTATTAGAATTTTTTTTTTTTTGTTCTCTGGGAACTATCCAGTCCCTTCAAACACTAGAAAGCTCTGAACATTCAAAAAGAGAGTTTGTGCTAGCCCCATACTAAAAATGAAAAATTGTCCCTACAGTGTGCTGTTTGAATACTGTCTGTGCAGAGTTTAAAGGACAATTCCGGTGCAAAATGAACCTGGGGTTAATAACACATGTGTACCGAGTTGGTCCGTTCTCTGGGATATGTTTTCATGCTAATCGACTGTGACCGGTTTTAGCACAAACCGCTAATTCGCTTATAACGCTAGCCAACGGGGGCACAGAGTAAAGAGAAAAGAAATCACTTTCTATACCACAAACAAGACTCAAAATAGCACCACACTTACACGGTAACATAATTAGGGTCCCTATGTATAAACCGAAGCATTGAGAACTTTGTAAGTGTACAGACAGTTTATTAAAAAGATAGTTTAGAACAACAGTAGCGTTCGCGTATACAGGCGGGCGCCATCTTGGGAAAACAGTCAGGGGTTAGGTCATTCATGCAGATCAATGATAAAGACTTACAGCTGGCGATGTGAACTAAAACAAATGTAATTTGCTCAATATATCAGAAATAATCGCACCGATGTAAAACACAACTCGTCTAGTGTACTTATTCAGTGGATAACTGTCCATCTGGTCCCTCCGGTATGAGTCGCCGCCTCCAATTTATTGTTGGGACATGGAAAAAAGTTTCAAGTACAGCTCTGTTTATCAGAGAGGGGAAATCTGTACTGACTGTACACAACACTGCGTCTCTTGGGTGTCGCGACGCAACAGGTCCCACTCTGTGCAACACAGGCACTCCTCTTCGGTGGCCATAGCTTCACAATGTCCGCAGGTACGCCACCAGTTTCCCGAAGTACGAGGCTGGGTTGCGGCATTGACTACCGGTAGCTCTCTCTCTCTCTCTCTCTCTCGTAGCCCTTTCACGGAGCTCCCGCAGCTCTTCGTCTGTGCTTTCTTCCGGCAACAGCGTTTAACGCAAGATTCACTTCACATCTCCGTGGAAACGTTGTTGCCGGAAAAAAGCACTGAACGCAACAGAGACTAGTGCTTCCACAGGATACACACTAAAGAGATGGCGGATTATTCAACGGAATTTGAAGACATCGACAACGAACCCTTTCAGTTTGATGGACGTCCTTATCTTTTCGAGCCGGAATATACAGACGAAGAGCTGCTGGAGCTCTGTGAAAGGGAGCACCCAAGTGGCCGCACACCCAAGAGACGCAGTGTTTTGTACAGTCTGAAGATTTCCCCTCTTGCCCCATTGGCTAGCGTTATAAGCGAATTAGCGGTTTGTGCTAAAACCGGTCACGGTCGATTAGCATGAAAACATATCCCAGAGAACGGACCAACTTGGTACACATGTGTTATTAACCCCAGGAATTGTCCTTTAACACTAGAAGGATGTTTTCACATTCATCTGCTGAAAGTGGAAAGTTTCTCTGTGCTCATTGAACATCTGATTTTAAGGGGCGGGGCCTACCAGCATGATTTGTGACATCACAATTATTTAGGAAGTCAGTCCTGGTCCAGTATCAACTTGTACAGTGTGATGTAGAAACTTGAAGCCACCAGTGCACATCCACTGAGAATGGACTTCACAGTGAAGTAGGAGACATCTTGTGTCCAACAGCAAAACTTTAGAAATCACCAACACTTGCATATTCAGAGATTCTGGAGGTTTTAATGAGGTAGAAGGGGGAGATTACTTTTCAGGATTTTAATGTGGAAGTTATACTGTTTTCCGAGCAAACAATTTGTTTATATGCTTTAAAGGTCCAGTGTGTAATCTTTAGGATCTATTGGCACAAATGGAATATAATATTCATAGGTATGTTTTCATTAGTGTATAATCCCCTCAATATATGAAGCGTTGTGTTGAACCACCATGTTTCTCCAGTAGCCAAGAATAGACGAACCAAACACTGGCTGTAGTCTGGGCCATTTGTGTGTTTTGTGGCCACCGTACTTCCTCCTTCACGCTTACAGGAAGAGGGAAGGAAAGGGAGGGTGAAACAAGCCGCAATCTGCAGCTACACCACTGGATAATTTAATGTCTGGAGGGGATCTTTAAAGAAAGACCTAATTAGTCTTAACAATGAGTTAGTTATTAGCAGTGATACTAATTAAGGTTCTGTTCCATTCAGCTTAAACAGAGTCAGGGTGCTGCTGTTGTGCACGTTGGCTCACCGGAAAGGCTCTGCTACATTAAATGGAATGGAGCCTTAATTATTACTACTACTACTATTTCATGTAAAAATGGCTGCTGTGAAAAAGGTCTGTTGTTCTTGAAGTAAAGTTCTGTGTGTCTCAGTTCCTGATTGGTTGTGTGTCTCCTCCTTCGTCTCTTTTAGATGACACTGACGGGCCTCCACTTTCCCCTTCTGCAGAGCGTCAGGTGACACATTTTACACATTGTGAATTAGTAGATTTCAGTATTTTGGAATAAAATCCTACACATGACCTTTCTAAAGACATCTGTGCCATCACCTTCCTCCTTCTGGAACATTGCAAATTTCATGATAATGCTAATTTAAAGGTTTGGTCTCAGCTTCCTCTCATGTAATGCTTACTGATTGAGGGTGAGAGGTGACAGGTTAGAAAGCAAATTACTGTCAGTTGCTCCAAAAACTGCTTTATATGAAATGTCCACATCACATTCATTTTTTTAACACCAATCTCACACTTGACCAATCAGATGAGTCTTTTATATGAAACTCATGTTGGATTAGTGTGCACGTATTTGGGTGTTTGGCTTAGTATGGGCAAAGTTTTTGGTAAAGGACAACCTATTTACTACCGCCTCCTGATCCCTCCCTCCAGCTGGTCCAGTCGCTGGGCGTGGCCATCTACCGAGCTCTGGACTGGGGGCTGGACGACAGTGAGGAGCGTGAGCTCAGCCCACAGCTGGAGCGCCTCATTGAACGCATGGCGGGAGGGGACCAGGACGGAGAGGGCGACGGCACCGCTGGCAACGGCGCAACAGATGAGGGGTACAGCGGCCAGGAAGAGGAGGAGGAAGACGAGGAGCAGGAAGGAGTAATAAAGCCAGTGTGTACGTTCCGCCAGGTGATGGCACTGTGTGCGTCTCGGCTAGCCAACCCAAACTTGGCTCCAGAGCACTACCAGGCTGTCTGCAGGGCCCTGTTTGTAGAGACTATGGAGCTGCAGACCTTCCTCATCAAGATCAGAAATGCAAAGGAGGTACGTTAGGTTGTCATGTCAATATTAAAGAAGCCCTTTACAAACCTGGTAGAGCTGGCTAGTCCTTGGTGCAACGGCCATTGGTTTGAATTCGACCTGTGGCTCTTTACTGTGTATCATCCCCTCTCTCTCTCTCTCTCTCTCTCTCTCCCCTTTTACGTTTATCTTCAGCTAAGCTATATAATAAAGACAAAAAAGCCCCAAAAATATGTATTAAAAAAGAAGCCGATTTTACTTTTATAGCAATGTAGGTGCGAACAGCTGGGGGATAAATCCAGGGAAATAGATCGATGACATGCTTTTCATTTATTTCACTGGACTTTAATCGCACTTCGCTGAGTTCGTACTCTCTGTATTTGAAATGCTTATACCCCTTCCCATTAATATTCCTGCTTACATGCCTGAGACAGAGCAGAGAATGATAAATGACTGAAGATGCCGCCTCCACAGTTTCCTTCCACTGCTCAACCCTAAATCTTGACTTGACTTGACTTGAGTCACTGCAGTGGTTTGCCCTTGTTGAATTGTAGCAGAAACACTGCCCAGGAAGCTGTTCTGATGTGTACATGCAGAAGGTCGGCACTTTCCCATGTGGTAGTATCATTAGAAAGGAAACTGTTGCATACAGCAATGCACGCTGATACCCACCACCATCAGTCCAAAAGAAGACATAAAACTGTTGCCCTCAGAATAATACCGATGTCACTGTTCAAGCTTGCAATTGTAAAACGAAAGAAAACAGCAGATTGTCTTTTTCTTGCTTTTTGTTGCACAGATGCTAAAGAAGATCACAATAGAGGAAGCTGTGGAAGACAGGTCCACAGCCGAGCTGGACGCGCTGAAGCACAGAGACTGGGTGAGACGAAAAAAGTGCACAGTGTGACAGCGAGGACAATACAACAGTGTGTCTGAGTGAAGAAGGCAGTGTTGACGCATGCAGATGTGGTGTTGTTGTTGTTTCCATCCCAGGCACGTCTGTGGGTGCAGCTGATGAAGGAGCTCAGGCAGGGAGTGAAGCTGAAGAAGGTGCAGGAACAGCCGTTCAACCCGCTACCCACAGAGTTCAGCCTCACACCCTTCGAGATGCTGATGCAGGACATACGAGCTCGCAAGTTCCAGCTCCGCAAAGTCATGGTGAGAGACAGACTCAGGCTTAAAAATCAAGCCAAGCATTAGATATCATATTTGATAATGAAGATATGCAGTTAAATGTTGTCTATGCCATGAAAGGTGTTGAAATTGTTGTTGATCAGTAAGCAATGAAAGCAGTTTAAATGTCGATTGTAGATAAAGCAACAGAGATAATGGAAGCATCAGTGCAGTGTCAGTTGGCTTGTAAACGCTGAAAGCGGTTGTCAGTATCAGCAATGTCAGTTGGACAGTAACTATTTGATTCCACTGTGGCGGGGGGGCTGATCACTGCAGTTCTAAACAATGCTTGTAACGCTTAGCACGTTTTGCAGGCGCCTGCTCTGTTCCGCGGAGAATACGCACATTTGTGATGAAAGCCACATCAAGTTGGCCTTGCAGAAAATCAGATACTGAAATGGCATAGAGCATCTGGTAAATTTTCAAAATAAAACACCCTGTGCAGACTCATCATAAAAACGGACAGAAAAAGAAATGTAATTACCTAGCCTACTTAACCATGGTAGAAGCATAAAGTAAAGTAAAAACGACCAAGTCAACAGAACAAACGCTTCTGGCGGGGGATGAAGCCTTGCAGAGGAAGACACAGAACAGCATTACAGATGTGACATGACAGAGTGCTCGCTGGAGTCAAGGCGTAAACGCTTACAGCTCCTGGAATGTCAGTCGAGGTGTTAACTCCTAAAAACATCTAAATCAAACCATCACAGGTCTTGAGGAAGAAATATGAGATCTGATCAGAAATACTTTACTGATCCCCGGAGGGAAATTTGTTACAGTTACAGCGTTACAGTTGACCATCATGCTAACGGGACATTAAAAGAAGTTGAAGAGGATGAGGAAGAGGATGAGGAAGAAGAATCATCTGTGCATCATCAAACAATATCTAACAATGTATTGTATTCAATTAAATTTTATTTGTATAGCGCCAATTCATAACAGAAGTTATCTCAGGACACTTTTCAAATAGAGCAGGTCTAGACCGAACTCTTTATAACATTATTTACAGAGACCCAACAGTACCACCATGAGCAAGACCTTGGCGATGACGGCAAGGAAAAACTGCCTGTTAAAAGGCAGAAACCTAGGACCGACCCATATATATAGAAGATAGATGACTGCTCTGACAGTGGCTCCCATGGCTCTATTAAATCCATGATCACTGCACAGATCTGATGGAACCTTCCTCACATTAATACATGAAACATACACAAATGTCATTTGCATTTCCTTTTGCTGACTTACTCTGAATTTTATATACATTTGGATTGAAACACGGCCGTTTGTCATTTAAAGACCTTGAAGCCTTTTTTCAGGCAGTCCAGTGTATGGTGAACCTTATACTGTATAGGCTTTGTTGCAGGAAGAACACATTACGTAGCAGGCATACACCTTGAGGCCTTTTTCCATGGGCAGACCCATAATTCATCCTCAAAACACAAATATTAATGAAGGCCTCTCTCAGCCTTCTGTTGTTCTGGCAGTAGTTGCATGGAAAAGATCATCACCGATCATCATCTTTGTCACAGCTCTTATCTACCCTGTCTCCAGCCGCAGCAGGCAGCCGCTGTACGCTACCTGCACCAAATGGCAGACCAAGAGTTGGTAGAGAGCAAAACAGAGCTAAAAGGAGAGGGAATATTAGACTTTTTCATTCAAATGTATGCTACTGTTGCTGTTTGTAATAATGTCACTGCTGTGTTTACAGCTTTAACATTCAGATAAAGTAAACTCACAATGTCTATACTTCTCTCTTAAACATGTCAAGAGCTAAATGTGTCTGCGTTTCACTACACTCACTGTTTCCTGTCTTTCCCAGGTGGGTGGTGACATTCCTTCCAGAGTGAAGAGAAATGCCCATGAATTGATACTGGATTTCATCAGATCAAGACCTCCACTTAAACCAGTGAGTGCTGTTAGCCTTGTAATACAAGTTTACTACAGTGTTGTGAAGAAGGGTAGATACAAGTGGACAATTGTTCTTACCATTTAAAGTATACCCAGCAGACTGCTGAGTGTGTATCATACAGAAGCAGTAGAGAATGCTGTGTGCAATAGGCTTAGAAACAAAGATAATTAAGAGTAAATAAAAGTGAATGGTCAGATTTGTCTGTAAATGTAGCTTAATGATGAGGTTATTGTGACAGTTAACTGTCTTTGTCTTGAAACCACTCTTCCCCTGACTCAACTCCAGTGTAACATGAACTGTAGCATTGGCCGGGACAATAGACTTTTGGCATTTTTAGCTACACTGTAAAGTCTGTTATTTTTACAGTAAAGAACTGGCAGCTGTGGTTGCTAGAACTTTATGCGTAATAAATATGGTAGGACTTTTTATATTACTACTTATATTTATATTACTATTACTGTGAAACGATATTAGTGTCCAGTTTTGATCCATATTATACCATATAAATACAAGTCATCAAAAGAAATATAAATGCTATGGCAGTGTGCAAATTACAGTCAGTAATATAAAAAAACAACTTTATTCTGTATAAATCTCTTTAAAATGCTGTATAAATAAAGCTTTTGCAGCGAGCAGTGTTCAATTGGTATTCCTCAACTTCACCACTAGATGCCACTAAATCCTATACACTGGTCCTTTTAAAGGCGCTGTAAGTGTAATCGGCATTTTGACTTACTTCCTGTCCCCTCCCTCCTCCCCATGTCACCACACTGAAATTCTGCTGTCTGCCATAGAGGACCGCCTCTTTGTGGAGTTCTCTCTCCTGATTGGATAAAGTGGGAACCGGATGTCAGAGAATGTATTCTCTGTTTACTGCAGAAAGGAGGGACTGGGAGACCCATACTACTGACTGAACACTCTATATCAGTGATGTATGTTGGGATGTAAAGCTATTGAAGACTTATTTTAACAAAAGAATATTGCTTACAACACCTTTTTTAATGTCTTACTAGGCTATAAATGCAACTATGAGCCCCTAACAATAGCTTCTACTTGATACTATATCCGATATTTTATTGATAAAAACTGACAATGATACATTACTAAGTCAATGCAAGCTTTTATGTAATACATTATTGTATATATATAATATATATAATACTACCTTACATTTCTATATAATTAGTTTAAATCTATGTATCCATTACTAATGGACCTGTATACATTACTGATGCCAGCATTTTCCACATACATTAATGCCAGCCTATTATGATAACTGATACATTACTAATACCGTAAGTCTTGATACATACATTCTGATAGGTACTGACCACTGCAGACTGGGAACACCCCACAAGAGCTGCAGGTTTGGAGATGCTCTGACCCAGTCGTCTAGCCATCACAATGTGGCCCTTGTCAAAGTCGTTCAAATCCTCACGCTGCCCATTTCTCCTACTTCTAACACATCAACTGGAGGACAAAATGTTCACTTACTGCCTGATATATATCCCACCCACTGACAGGAGACATGATAACCAGATAATCAGTGTTATTCACTTCACCCGTCAGTGCTCACAATGTTGATCGGCTGATCGGTTTATACTACACGGGTCTTTTTTAATCCTTTTTTACTGTCAGTAGTACTACCCTACTGTACTGTGGTATGTGTTGTTTTATTTTATTAGGTTAGTTTTCTTGTCTAATAATGGTCTAAAAGCTGTATTTCAAATGCTTTTACACCCAGGATCACTGGGAGGTTTTGGAATTGGTGGTAAAATATGTACATATCTACATATTTCCTCATCTCTTTTAAATTTCACACAAGTATGGTTGTGTTCTAATTATTTGTCCTCATTAGGTTTCAGAGCGCAGCCTCCCCCTCCTCCCCCCGCAGCAGCAGTCCCTCCATGACCAGGTCCTGGCTGAAATCAAGCAGGAGAGAAAGCTACGGCCTGTGGTCCCGGACAGCTCCAGACGTAAGGGGATGATAGTTCACAACTTATTTTTTACTTGCAATATAACATTTATTTGCAACATTTTGGTACTAGACCTTCATCAGGAAAATTGTTTATTACAATGAGAAGCTATCTTAAATAGGGAGTCACTACAAGTGTGCAAAAAATCATTCCCCCCACTTATTATTTATTTATTTATTTATTTATTTATTACCCACATTTATTATTGTGGTTGACTTTTTTCTGTATACCATGGTAGGTTCATTCACAAATGTAACTGCTAAAATGTGCATCTTGTGACTGCAGTCACCTCTTGGAGCCTGTAGGATCTATTCCAACATGCAGGTTGTAGCAGCTGAGCTCTAGTCACAGAAAATGAATGAGGGTGAATTGACCCCTTGGTAAAATGCTCACAGATGTGACTCCACAACTCTGCTGGTGGTGAAGAACAAAGGCACAGGGAATGAGAGCCCATGTTGTGACTCCATTGGAG